CCCCAAAACCCCAAAACCCCATTAGCTATTAATTTGATACTAATCAGTATTTTTAAAATTCAAATTCAAAATATAATGCAAAAAGTATATCTCCCACCTAAATACTCCTAACGACCAAAGTTTCATTAAACTATAATTGAAACTAGCACTAAGCTTAATCAGAGGAAGCAAACAGTTAATGTACAAAATACTAATATTTAGCATGATTAAGATTACATAAAATCAGATAGATCACTAAAGCAAATATATAGCTAATCTCAAAATCTGGATGATGAGATTAGTGAGAGTTAATCAGTTTCTTACAGCTAAAGTGAAGTAGAAATTGTTAGAGCAGCACTTGATGAAACTGAGAGCTCCACCAGAACTAATAAAAATTTATAGAATGATGTTCCCGAAGTTAAAAATGTTGTTATAGGGATTAATAGACAAGCAAATATGACTCCATCTTTGAATAGTTCTACATCTCAGTAAAGTAGAAGGTACAGCTCTAACACTTCATCTATTGTTACTAACGTGCCTTAAGATAAATCTTAAAATTCTAACAATTCAAGTGAGAATAGCCGTATGAAGTTTTAATCATTTCAAGTACTTAATCCTCAGAGTGCAACTTTCAGAGCATATTACGCGTAAGTTAAATAAAAGTTAAAGAATTGTACAACTAATTCAGCTTTGCTCTCTGGAAGATAACCACTACGAAAAATAAAGGATTTGAAGTCATTTAAAAACACCACTTTATCTCGTAGTTAAAATGAATCTATGTTGATTTAGATAAGACAAACTCGAGCAGCTACCTAGCTAAAAGATTCTTTGACTGGAATATTCAGAGTGTAATACAGATTTTTCTTTGACAGCTATAAGTAGAGTCTTAAAGAAAAAGAAATTATAGAAATGTTCACTATTTGGCATAACCATTAGTAGCAATAAATAATGGAAATAGAAAAACAGCAATATATGCAGCAGCAGATAGGGGATATCTCTTAGATCAGTGATATATATACAAGAAAAATGAGTGTGAATCCATTATCAGATAAAGATCCATTCAACTCTAGAAGATTTTCCCAATAACAGAACCCATAAAGTGAGAGTTTTTCAAACAAAAAAGACATGAGTAATATGAATAATAACAATCTACTCCATCAGTCTTTCTCTTAAAACTAACTTTAAAGCTTCAGTCAATCTAATAACACTCAGTATCTAAATGAACTTTAGCAATAACAGCAATAAATGTATTTGGAGACATTTAGACAGAGAAATCAAAATAGTAGATAAGATTAATAAATGTAAACAATTCATAGGGAATATTTAAATTCATAAATAACTCCTCAACAGTGGTCATAGAAAGGGAATTTGCCATAGCAGTAAAGCTAGTATTTCGTTAGTAATAATAACAATAATGATAATGTATTCCAAAGGTAAACTCCTTATCTTTAGTCTAATCCTACTAATAAAAATCATCACAATTCTTCTTCAGATAATAAAATAGATGCGAGCATGATAGATCAAATTACCAAAAAGATAAAAAAAGATATTATGAAAACTTTGCAAAGCAAAGGAATTTTAGGTAGCAAAGGAACATAGATTAATTATGGTAGAGGTTAAGCATGCAGGTATCAATGCCATCAATAATAATCGCTTTAAGAGTCATTTTTAACTGATGAGAATTCATCATTTCTTAGTGATTCATAGCAAAAGCATCATTAGATTTAAAAAGTATAACACTCTAATATTTAGCATTCTAGAGTGAGACTTTAAGATATTACCAATATTGTTTAAAATCATAAAAAAGGTAAAAATTAAAACATTTAGTAGTACGAAAAGTAATTCAATACTACTTCCAATAAGGAGGTATTATCTCCTAAACTACTTGAAAAAATCAAGCAACTTCTTCCATCACCACCTCAAACTATAAAATAAAACTAATGTAATAACAACATTAAGAGAAGTGCATGCATTTAAACTGAGCTTAATTAGAATAATGAAACTCAAAAATGGGCAATTTAAGGTAACAATTAAACCTAGAAGGTAATTTAATAGGAGGCTCAAAATTACTAAAATCTATAAGCTCAATAAAAATAATTTTTGAAGGCAGTTAAGTCTTAAAAGCTTCTAAATGAACAAAGATAAATGATGACTTTAACTAAGAGCAACTTGGATATTCTTGAGACATGTGGAACTGCCACTTTTAGAGATATGAGAGATGACAAAGTACACCAGCAATCTTCAAGATATTTGATCTAAGATTCAAGTTAAAAGACATTGAATCAGAGTAAGATAGATTCTTAAAGAAGAAGAACAATGGCAGATGATAATCAAAATGGAAAAAGCAGCAGATTGAATCAAAATAACTACCTTGTAAATGGAAGTGAATCAAACATTGATATCAATAACTATATCCAAACTCAGAGAAGTGCATTCGCTTAAGCTCTAAGTGATTATTAAGAGCAGTCAATTGTTACTGCAAAGCAGAGCTCTAGTTAGTAATCAAATAATCATCAAAAATCTTTCACTAAGCATTAAAACTACATTGTGGCTAATTAGATATCTTAAAATATATCTCCTACAAAGGACAACTTGACAAGTCTAGATATCACAACTAATGCTCAGAAAGATTATACTTGCTTGGAGGATCCTGCAGCTGATTTATCATTGGTTATGTATAATACAGGCACAATGTAAGAATTTTAAAAGACTGAGGAGCAAAATGATGAAGACTTAAGTAACCCTGATGAAAATATAAATGAAATGGTTTTAAATCAGGAGTAGCTTAGGACTTTGACAATGTTTGAAACTGGATTTAAGACTTTCTTTCCAGTTAATTCAGATCATTCTCATGATCCAAGGAACAATCAAAACTAAAATGCAAATTAAAAAAGACAGAATTAGAAGGAGTTTACTATTAAAGAGTGCTAAGATTAGTCAATAAATTTCAACAGTAATAACAATGGCATGGTTACTGCTACCGTATCAAGATACTTCAATGATGACTGTGATGATATAAGCGAAATTTAAGCTAGTTCAAATAACAAATTCTTGAGAGGTTAGTTCCAATTTTTTAAGAGAAATTCAATAGAAGAGGCAACTTATTGTAATTCCCAGCATAACATATCAAATTTGACTTAGAATTTGCCTTAGCATAATGAAATTAAGCTTAGAATAAACAAAAACTAGAATTCATTAAAAGATAGACATCACTCAAAGAAAAAGTCACTTATAAAAGGTTAAAATGAAGAATGCAGCTTTGAGTATTCAAAAGCCGAGGATATGCAATCTTCATAGATACTTAACGAGAGTTCTTTCGACCAGTTTATTTCTGATATGAGCATTAAGAAAAGACACTAGGACCATCAATCAATGATTATACTCTAAAATAGATAGTGTCATGATCAACAATAAAAAATACTGCAAATTGATTAGGACCAAGATTAGTAAAACCAGAATAATTTCTACAACAGTACTAGAGTCAATTTAGTACCTAAGCTTGCTCTTGATAAATTAGAATAGCAATATGACGAGAGAAGAGATAAGGCCAAGTAAGCCCTTAAAAATATAGTATTAAATTCTATTGGATTATGAATTTATGATTGACTATCAATTCTAATATTTCAAAAAATTTCGAATATATTAAAATGAGGGGTTTTGGGGTTTTGGGGTTTTGGGG